CCGTCGATCTTTCAATCTTCTTGATTCCTTCGTAGTTGGATCTTCTTTTGCTTCCCAATTGCTTCCCTTGTGTGTTCTAGGGCCTCTCTAATGTGTATTCACGTTCCTCCTCTCAAAATAGAGTAAATATGCCTTTTATAATGTCCAAAACCCTTCTCCTTTTCAAAATAGGTAAGATATAAAAAACTGCCTGCGCACGCGACACGGCCATTCTGCCCGTGTCACGGTCCGTGTCGCTGCCCGTGTCAGGTCCCAGGGCTTCGAATTCTCTCTGTTGAGGTGACACGGCCTCTGACACGGGTATGGTGCCCGTGTCACTGCCCGTGTCACAAATCTGCACTCTCCTTTTCGCTCGTTTTACTTGTTTCTTCCATATTTTTCATCCGTACATCAATCTTTCATCATCCCGGGGGTTTTAGGTACTCACCATGCGCCTCCAAAAGCTCTACAAATATATGTGGAACTATCTACAAAACAAGCACGTGTAATACCTTTCCAACAAATAGAGAATTAAAGCACAAATATGCAATTTATACACCAATAATGCAATGATTAAGCTCTAGATACTCAATAAATATGGTGTAATATCACACATGAACAATCGTCGTTGATTTTCTTGGTCTGGTTGACTGATGCGATGGGTTGTGTAGTTGTTTGTGTTTTTGTTTGTGTTTTGTCTTCTTTCTCTCTCGTTGGGAATGCGCTTTGTGTATTCTCCACTTGTGGGTGTTTTTAGTTAGTCCTCTTTTTTGGGAACGTTTTGTGATTGTGTTGTTTCAGGTAGGTTCTAGGCTACCATTGATGTAGTTTTCTCTACTAGATTCAGCGGCATAGCGGCTTTCTTTGGCCGTGTGACTAGTATAGTCAGCTATGTGCGATTGTGATCTAGTTTGTTTGTTTTGTGAATATCTATAAAATATCATTTCACAAAAAAAAGAAATTAAATTAAAATTAAATTAAAAAAGTGATTGACTTGATTTTTTCCTATAAAATTCATATCCAATCCCACGGTTACAAATTGACATATGGCATGTTTGTTTATAAAAAAATTTGGTATCTATTTGGATTTTTTGATTTGCTTTGGTTAATTTTGAAAAAGGTGGTATGGTTAGTTGTTAGTGGGTATATTAAAATAATATTTAAAATAAAATAATTAAATTGATTGGATTTAAAAGTATGAGGGAGAGATTTGAAGTGATGGTTAGTTAAAATAATGTGAGTGGATGAATAGTGAATCAAGGTTGATGAGGTGTATATGAATAATTGATTTATATTATTTAAATATATTGATAATTTTGATCAACAGCGGATACATAATTTTTTATCAGCCAGGGAAAAATGAAATGAAAAAATACTTATTTTTTTTTAAAAAAAATAATTATATTTTTTCAGTCAATGACGGGAAAGTAATTGTCCACAACGTGATTTCATATTTTGAAACCGATGCATTATAGCATCATTGCTCTTTGAGTTTAAGATACACTTCCGGTGTGCCGGGTCTGAAGGGAGATTTTTCAGAAATTCGCCATGTTCGATGCTTTTTGAATTTTCACCAAGTTCGGTGCTCTTTGAATTTTGATTGTCGAGCTTACTTTTCTTCTTAGACGACAAAAGAGTTGAAGGTTCTTCCAAATTTGATACTTTTCGAAAGTACTTCTCCATTAATATAAATATGCAATCATTAACCAACAATTGATTTCTATTAGTATAAAAAATTTTCAAATTCAAACATCAACAGTCACTCAGTCAGTCAACAAACTCTAACAAGTGTGATTTTTGAACTAATAATTCTGTACAAGTTACAACCTAAACCAACCATGAGCCCACTAAAACAAATCAATTCAATTCAGTTCTTTCCTGCATAAACTGTACGCATAGCAAATTACCATGTCTTTGAGACGAAATTGCAGTAAACGGAAAAAAACAAACATAATATATACAAACAAAATTTGAGTTTAAGAAAAAAATTGATATGAATAGTTGAACTTGAACATATAAAACACTTACATTAGAACTAAATCGGAGAAATTTCGATCAAACTATTCAAGAAATCTGCACTCTCGTTCCCGTCACTTCAGCCGTCCTTGACAAGAAAAATTATTTTGGATTCTATGTATGTCGGATTCAGGAAGAACAGACGAATTAAAGAGGAAGATGAGAGTTGGGTGTTCGACGATCAATTTTCGAATTAAGGGCTTTTTTTCCCGAAAGAAAATTGGGGATCTTAGATCTTCACAAGACTTGTGTTTTTTTTCTGTTTGCGCGCGTGTGTATGGGCTGAGGTCTGGGCAACATAAATATTTGATAATTGATTTTTTTTGGGGCACTAATTACATTGGAACCAAGAACGACATCTATATATATATATAATAAGAATTAACATTTACCAAAAATAGTAGCAAAAAAATAAGTCAGAATTTAATGCAGCCTATATATAGTAAGTTTTATTACTTTTCTTATTTTTTTTCTTTAAAAATCATACAACATTAAATGTCACCTTAAACTTCGGGTTTTAGTTTATCTTATTATTTAAAAATTCGGTTAAGATTTATTAAATGTGTATGTTTTTATTTTTATTTTTATTTTCTTAGAAACAACGAACAACATTAAAATCTCGGTCTCTATATTTATAAAATCTCAATTCAAAATATAACAAAAGTTTTAGAATCTCGGTTTTATATTTGTGCCGTTAAAAAAACATATTGAACGCAAAAAATATTATTTAAATTGCATAATCAATCAATTAATCTTAATTTTTTTAAAATTACTATGTTTATTTTTAATTAATATGCATAAAGTAAAAATAATTAATTCATCTTTAGATATATAATATATAATCTTAATATACTATCATTTGGTGTAGACATTTATTATATGTCATAAAATATTTTTATTTCATAAAATTAAATATATTTAAAGAAAATAAGAAAATTTCTTCGGATCAATTGAGTGATTGAATTAGGGTACTGCCCAGGTTGATTGAATTACTTTTCGGTGATAATTAAAATAGTCAAAAATTTTGACACAACTTGGTTGGTCCTAGGTGACTAAGTTATGTATCAATTCGACCACATCAAATCGATTATTGAACCTAAATATAAGTTTTATATTGAAAATATGTTATTACGTGAATGTGATGTAGTCCAAACTTCAAATAATCGTATTAATAATACTTTTATGACAACATGTTTAATGATTTATGAATATTTATATATCATTTTGTTAATATTTATGTGAATTAAATAATATTTTATTATAATTTTTATTAATGTACAGTAAATATAAGATTTTCAGAACTGGATCGTCATCGAAACGATCAAGCTATTTTATTAAATCATTTGTGGTTTGTTCAGATTTTAATTTATAAACATTTTAATATATATATATATATATATATAGTACTTTTGTAATAAATTTAAATAAAA